CATTTTGCTTTCAAATTACTTCAAAACTTCTTTCAAAATATAACTTACCAGTATGGATTCACTCTTTTAAAATAATTCTACTTTAATTAAACTTAGGAGATAATATAATCAATTAATCAATACTGTTTAGGAAATAAATTATTATTAACTAACTTTGCAGCAATTGCACAAGTAGTAATAACTTGTTTTCGCACTAAATGGATTTAAGATCATACAACATTATATATATATATTTTAATTTCTGAAAATTTTGTATATTAAACTTGCCGTCCAGCTGCTAAATTGTAATCTGAAGCTCCCAGATCGGAAGTTTATTTGTTATATACGTTAAAAGAGGTGCACTGTTTTCAGTCGCTATGTAATATCATGTCTTGCAAAACATTTTTCATGCACATGGATCATGCCTCGGAAACTGGCGAATGAGAACAACAGAAAGAATCTGGAAGCAACTTTTGACAAGTATTGTCACGTCATTGAAAGTAACATTTTTAATTTATACTCCACATGCCCTTGCACATAGACGATTCTGTATTTAGCAAAAGCAAAATATACTCATGTCCATAAATTAAGGATAATTCGGAGTCACGCGGAACTCGAACTCTAAAATAAATATATCACCTGTAAAATCACTACACACATCTTCAAGAATCATATGCAAATTTCAGGAAGTAACCAGATGACGCCACTGATACGTCACAATGACGAGAGTGTAAGAGAGTGATATATAAGGAATACAGGTAAAGAAGTAAAATTGTTCGCAGGCGCTTTATAAGCATTTCAGTACAATAACCGAATAGTTATGACACAAAGGACGCATTTGGATGGTTTTTTACGTGGTAGAATTATCGGCCGTCTGGAATGGGGGCGTACCCAGCTGGAAGTATCAGACGAACTTGGAATTGCCCAGAGTGTCATCTTCAAGCTTTGGCAACTATTCTAAGATGATGGTAATGTGAGTAGACGTTACAGCACAGGTCGCCCCAGAGTTACAACGCCGAATGAGGACTGGTATTTGGCAGTTACTGCCAAAAGCCAGGCGCAGCACAGTCTCAGACCTGTCTCGTCAGCTCTCTTCAGCCACTGGTACGACAATTTCAAGGCAGACCGTGTACAGACGCTTAGGGCAGATTAGTCTATATACTCGTAGACCTGTCAAATGAGTTCCACTTACTGCAACTCACTGTCGCCTGGAGTAGAGAGAATGCATTGTGGACACCGCAACAGTGGGCTTGCATGATGTTTTCCGACGAGTCCAGGTTTAGCTTACAGTCTGATTCTCGCCGGACTTTTATATGGAGAGCTCCAGGTACCCGTTACCACCAAGAAAACATCATTGAACGACACCGTTACTGTGGTCCAGGAGTGCTCATTTGGGGTGGAATTATTCTGGGTTCCAGAACCGACCTGCATGTTCAAATTGGAAGCATGACAAGCCAAATCTATCGGGACGTCATTCTGGAACAACATGTGCTTATTTTTCGGGGCGCCATGGGCGCACAATTTGTGTTTATGGATGACAACGCCCGTCCTCACCGTGCAAACATCGTAAGCGAATGCCTTCAATCGGAGGATATCACCCGTATGGACTGACCAGCATTCTCACCGGACTTGAATCCAGTAGAGCACGTGTGGGATATGTTTGGCCGACGATTTGCAGCCCGTCAACCTCCTCCTACATGTCTACCAGAACTTCGGAGAGCATTGCTTTTTGAGTGGTGTAATATCCCCCAAGATCAGATCGATAATTTGATACTCAGCATGCCTAGGCGTCGTACGGACTGTATGGCATCGTCTGGGAGACATACAATGTATTAACAATCATACCAACCATGTAATATTGGTTTTTTGGAAATAGGTTTTTTTTTTTTTTTTTGTAATTTGTTCCAGGTTGAAAAAATCGCTAATTGTTTTAATAATATCAAACATATAGCATCGTTTTTTGCTCTTTACCTTTTGTTGAATAAATAAGCTTTACAAATAAGTCAAATTTGTTTCGCTTCTAACTCTTCCTTTGTCTGATTTTGCATTATCCTTAATTTATGGACATGAGTGTATTTAACTTGGCGTTTAAAGTTAGGCAGTTTTTATTAGTTAATAAATTTAGCTATTTAAGAGCGATAAATGCCTTTCTTAAGGATATAAATTTTTATTTCACCTTTTAATAATGTTGATATAAATTATCTATACATATTATAATACTTTTACTAAATTGTAATACTTTTTAATAATGTTGCTATAAATTGATTTAAATTTATATGTCTAATCTTTCATTTCTGCGCTCTCGTTGAGCTCTCAGTCTACCAGTTTGCTGTTCCACTCATTCCTGCTAAACTATTTCTTCTCATCTTTTTAACTTTATTCTTAAGCATAATTTTATTCGCTTTTACGCCATACGCAGTTCAACAGCAAAATTACAAAAATTTTAAAAGCAGCATGTGTTTAGAATTTTTGATGAAGTCAAAAGTGTTGCCATACAATTTTCTATTTTTTTTTTCAGTCTTTTTTCAGCTTATCATAGCAATTGCAGGTGTCTTATTAACATGGCTCGCAAAACTTTTTTTTTGTTTATTTATTATTAACGCTTTATGTGTTAAATTTCTTAAATAAATATCATGTTCTTCGCTCTTACGCCACTTTAAATTCAGTTGAATAGTAAAATCACGAACTATTTCCAAACAACGTACCTTTAGAATTTCCGATAGACAGTCTAGCGTGCTGGAGATAAAAACGGTTTTATTCAGTACAGTGTTGCTATTGCTCGTTTTCGAATCGTTGAGTTTAATAATCAAAAATTAATTAGAGTTGTACAAAATATAAAATATAAGATTCGAACTTCAAAATTCGGGCTTCCAGGTGCACATGTTCGGGTAGAGGACTATGTTATTCAAAATTTGATGGCTCTAGGTTCCGTCATTTTTTCAAAATGCGAGAAACATACATACATTCATGCAGATTCTTCATTATTTAATTTTTAAAAATAATACAGGGCGATAATATTTTTTGGCAAAAATTTGAAAAGTTATTTAGACATCTAAAGTGATAAGCAGCCAAATCCCGTTTAGTGACTAATAGCCCATTCGGACTCTTTTGGGCTCATAAAATATTTGCATGTTTGAGGACAATTTTAGTAATATTTTTTATTTTAATCATTAAAACACAATATTTGACTAGATCTATAGTTCTTTGTTTATTTGTGTTAGTAAGTCGTTCTATTGAAAAATAATTAGGCTTACCTTATATGGACATTTGAAGATTTAAAAACTTTTAAAAGGCCAAAATGTTATTATATGTCAACTTATGATATCTTTTAGATACTTTAAAGCTGGCCACCAACGGCCGAGTAATAGAGTCGCTGAACATCGGTAGTTTGTTTCGGGATTCGAATCCCAGAAAACGGGTTAGCTGCATGGGCGTTTTTGTAGTTTTCCCCACGTGTAACATGTATACGAGCCAGTTTCTGCTGGAAATTCCTCCAAGAAGGCATCCCTGCTCTTAGACAGATAGCCCTCGAGGGCTTTGCTATGATCAAATAAAACAAATTAATACTTGTATTGCACAGTATAGCTAGTACCGCACATGAAAATCTTTGGAAATTACTCTTTTGCACTTTGTCACATGGCAATAAACAGCCAGTCGCTGCGGATTCCTGAGGCCAACATATAAAAGAAATCGTATATTCTGTAATAACCACAAAAATGTAGTTTTGATTCAAACATCCAATTAGTCAAATGAAAAAAAAAAAAATCTGCGACATTTTGCGGAATGGGGGAAAAAAAAAAGTCATGCATTTTTCATCAACGGTAAATCCTGTTGAAAATGTTTCGGAACCAGTTGGTAGCCTGAAAAGGAAGTATATATGCGATAGGCACTGTAAGAGTGATCTAATATATACTGAATCTAATGTTCAGAGGTCATGTACTCAAAACTTTTACCAAGATTACTGAAAATATAATCTACCTCTTTAAACAAACGTCTTCCAGTTCCACTCTTAGAGATTATAACATTAATGAAAACCTGCCTTATTATAGTTAGGTCTTTTGGCTATCGGATGTTACACTTGAATGCATCAGTTTCTTTAAATGCTCAACTTATATTTAAGTGTACTTTCTATTTCAGAATCAAATGGTTAATGAAAGAAACCCCACGAACCATTACATGTATTCGCCCTAAATTAATTAACAATTAATAGAGGAATTTTCTTTTGTCGTTTTCATTTTCGTTGGATTTATCTTTCATGCAAATAGCTCGATGAATTTACATAGTGTATATACTTTATAAGAATTGTGTTTGAAATTTATTACATGCTATTTAAAATCAAGTCTTCAATTTTTCTTTTTACTGGGATAATTTTTAAAAATAGACATTTAGGGACATGTTTTTAAAGTGCCGAAGTTTTAGAAACATCATATCTTTATCATTTGACCATAAGTCAAATTAATTTTCCCGATTGCTCTCATTTGGGCCGGCACGATTAATAAAGGATGATTGTCTGTAACCGTGAGAACATACGAACAGGATAAAAATATAATATTTTAAGATAAAATATGAGCTGAATGGAAATAATATCTGCAAAATTCATATTTAAGTATTTCTAAAGGAAGAAGTATTTCTAAAAGGGGTGTGGCTTTGTAATACATGACATGTCAAATGCTATATATAATTGCCTTAACATTTATTTGCCTCTCAGTTTTGCACCGATAAACGTCAAAACCTTAGTAATAAAATTATATGATGGAATTATTATTTTATAAACTAAATTAAGCTGTAATGTTAATTAAGTTAAATGTTAATTAAAAGAGTTTCTGTCGGTTCATATATTATAGGTATAAATTTGTAATGACAATAAGAAACAAGATTTAAATATTTAAAAAAATGGGGAGAAAGAGAAAGAAAGTCTAATTTTTGTATTTTATTTATACGAATTTAAACTTGTATTTTAAACATTAAGAAATATCACAAAGCTGACCTCCGTATAATTTCTTATTTTCTTCTTTTATTAGGTCCGAATAATGTGGCCAATAAACCCACTTCTTTCACCTTCAGGAATAATGTTGCATCACGCATGCGAAATCACATCCCACCTGCTACTCCAGCGTTAGGAGGAAACTACCGAATGTCGGCAAATTTGAGAACACCTGTGTTGACCAATATGTGGGAGCAGAACACACATCCGTATGAAGCTGGCCAGTCAGGTTACATTGGAATGGAACCAGCAGCACAGAAAACGCCTTTACTGCCTAATCAGAGAGGGTCGAAGTCAAATATCTATGAAACAACGCCTTCGTACAATAATAGCTACTCTACTTCAATGGAAGTTGTAGATCATGATAATTGGGGTAATGATGAATTTCATTTTTCAGAGTTTTTGAATAACAAGCAACAGCATACCAAAAAATAATAAACGAATTGGAAATCCAACTTAATATGCCACTAATTACAACATAGGAAACAATTTCTAACATAGAACATTTATTAATTTTCAGATACATATTTATGTGCTTTTAACTAATTGCTTTTAATTCCATACCATTACATTTCAAAGCTCAATTAGCTGCTTTTTAACACCATATATACTTTATTCGAAATGGAATCAAAGTCAATTGGACTTAATGAATCGCTTTTCAGTTACTGGGATTTCAGCGCCCAGGGACATCTGAAGATTTCGCGCCCCCTACTGCTTGCCAAGGATGGAAAACATTTAATTCTAAATTGTCGTAACATCAGTTTGGCGCCCCTTGGATTCTGTGCCCGGGGACAGATGCTCCCCCTTGCCTCCCTCTAGCTACGCCCCTGCATGATACTCGATTTCAAGCTCCAAAAATCTAAATGCCATCTTTTTTTTTTATTTTAAATTCCTATATTTACATCAAATTTGACAAAAACAAGCACCATTATTCCCTATCTTTAATTCCTACTGCACATTTGACATTCAGATTTGGCTTGATTCAGACATTTTATAGCAGCAATTTGAAAAATAGCACCTCGCATTTAAGTGACACAACCCAAAATGTCGTTTTGAGACTAACAGTCCTTCTGGGTTAACTCCCCTTTGGGCTAAAAAGTGATATAATTTAAATTAAAGTTATTATAATATACTACACTTCGCAGTTTTTTTAAGCGAAAATCTTATAAATTCAAAATTAAGTATCTAAATATGAGATTACACAAACTTATTTATATCTATAACCGAAATTATTTCTAATCTTCATTTCGGAACTGAAAGAGCAGCCTTTAACGCTGCTTTCGCAACCTGCCATTGCTGAATTTTGGGTCCACGCAATAAGATATTTAATTTTGCAACCTTCTTTAATATCAGTGTAGTTAAAAGACAAACTTCCTATTTTATAGTCATTCATACGCTTTCTGATAATATATTTACTACAGTTTCATTTTATTGAAACTCATATTTGTACTCACTTGTAAAATTATTATTACAAATTATGAATTACGAACTACAACTATGAAATTATTTTTTACAAATGTATATAAGAAGTTTATTAAAGATTACTCAATTTCTCAATTGGTTTTTTAGTAAAATTCCAAAATATCTTGAGGTATGAGAAGTTAATTTTCTTTCAAGGAATTCTGTAGAAGAAAAGTCCTTCAATAACATATCCCTCCTTTGTCAGATACTAGCTCTTACGTATTTTGCAATTCTTTTGAATTTAATAAGTGTGAAGAAGTAGAACATTTAAATATTAAAAAAAGTTTAAATCAGCTTGCATTAAAAACACTTTAAAAAAGGAAAGTTTTCATTATCAGTAGAATTTCACATAATTAAAATCAAAGTAGTAAAATTGAACTATTGCATATTTGATAAGTTTGAGCAATTTGCTTTTCATTTATCTCTTTGGTAATATAAATATTATAACGTTGGAAAAATTTCGTTCAATTTCAATAATTAATTGGTTTTGAATTATTAAAAATTTAAATGATCTGAATGAATGGTTAGCTGATGTAATTAAGCCAAAGCGCAAACGTCGTATCTACCAGATAAGAAATACCTTAATGATAGTCGTTTTAGGGAGAAATGAATGGTATGCACGAGATTTAAATAGAGCCTAAGTACGAAATTTAAATCTGGAATTCTGAGGAGATGGTTAAAAACTTTTGTGTAACTACATTCCTTCGAGTTTAAGGTACTTTCATCAGTTTTTGATGAGCATTATATTTTGTTATAAATGTCGTACAATAAATACATTGGGTAATATTGCATAAATATACTGTTATGTATATATATAGAGAGAGAGAGAGAAATATTATTATATAATAATTATTTTGCGTACTTTTAAATTCATGTAAAAGTTTTTTTAGTAGATAAACTGATTTATTTGCAAATACATCATTCAGCTATTTTATAATTATATTTTTAACAGAGACTGTGACAAATCTCGCTTGTCTGATATCAGAAACCCAACAAATTCATCGTGGCAAGGAGGCAAGATTGCGCCTGTCGTTGGCAACAGCTTTGAGCACCATGCAGGTGATAGTCTCAGTTTTGCTCAGTTTCGTCCGCACCCAATTTTGAAGGAGAGCACGCCGGAGGACGGAGTCGAGGGTTTCCCACCCTTTTTTCCTTATCACCAACTTTTCTAGAGGACTCACCACTCGCCGTATATTTTGAATGCCCCCTATGCCGCAGCGGTGCTATACATTTACAAATATCCGTGCCTTCTTCGAGATTCGGACGCTGTCTTTTCCGTGCGGCAGTCACAGTCACTAACCACTTTCCTGATTGGGCGTCTTTTTGACTTCTGATGCTGATAAAAACAGTCTCGAGAAGCTTGTTTTCTGCTTTTGAATTATAACATGAAAAGTTAAATATATAAGCAAGATGTAATATAGTAAAAGTCCGCTAATCTGGTATACAATTAATTGCCACATCCAGTGCGGCACATTTTTTACTGACTATTCTTTTATGGCGTTACTTGCATTTCTATCGGCTATATTCTGAAATATTCGGCCTAGTTTATTTTGCATCTTTTTGTCCATTTCAGTTAACTTTTTTTTTTTTTTTTTCCCCTCCAAAATTTCGCATTCATAAATCGTTTGTTGTTGTTTATCTATTCAGGATATTTTCAGAATTTGATAAAATTGTCCATTAGGGAATGAAACGGAAACCTGTGACCTTAACAAGTGCAAAACAGGAACTGCAATATTAATCCAACTTATGGATCAAGAATTTATTTAAAACTTTCAAAAATGTGCAAAGTTTTTTAATAATGATTGCGGCATGAAGAACTTCCTAGTTCAGTTCGATAGAAAAGGATCAAATTTTCATGACTGCTGTTTCTTGGAAATAACAAGTAAACAACACAAAGCTAATGCTTGGTGAGAAATGGACAAATGCCATAAAGGAGAGGTATTAAATATAGGCTTGCGATAGACTATCTTTTAGAAATCGTTGTTCTAAAATCTAGTTTAGTAGGGATATGCCTCGGACGGCGTCATGTACTGTCTGTCTGTCACAAAAGCAGCACTCTACAGATAGTCTTCAGCAGTCTGTTTCCACAGAAATGAGCTCTAACCAATTTTTCATAGAGGTGTTTTGCTTTCCAGTTTGCCATCTTGGAGCACTTAATGATGAACAGACTTTCTCTAAATTTTCTCTTTTCCGAGGCCAACATTCGAATAAAGGCCACCGACTAGTACTAGACTTAATAACGGAAGCTATTCTCCTGGTAAGCAAATAGTAACATCTGGTTCGTTTTCAAAGAACATGCACATAAACAAGTGTTGACACCGTTGATTCTGGTTATCATCAATGTCGCATGTTTGTGAACTTAATTATTATTTTGGTGTAAAATTTGGTATTTAACTTATAAGGTATTTCTCCCGCCTTCTTATCATGCCTTCGTGGTGTAGTGGTCAGCATACTCGGCGCGTTTTATAGAGGTCAGTGGCTCGAGTTACGACGAGGGCACTACTCCTTTTTTCCTTCTCTAGCTTCAAAATAACCTAATGACGCTACAGTGGCGCCCAAACTAAAAAGAGGGTGGTGGATGATGATTCTCCACCACCAGGATTTGGCGACTGGGACCCCTAATTCTCAGTCGCCCTTTAACTCTTTCGCATCGAAAGAGAACCAAATCTCTTTCCTTCAAACATCGAAAATGCCCGTGTGTACGAATTTCTGTTTAAATGCTTTTCCTTCTCCCGTGACAAATTGAATACTAGAGCGCTAACAATAATCTAGTATACCGTCGTGGTGTAGTGATCAGCACAATCGGTCCGAATTCGTCCTTGGTTCGAGTCCCGACGAGGGCATTGCTCATTTTTCGCGTCTCTAGCTTCAAAATAATCTAATGACTCTACCTTCGTGGTGTAATGGTCAGAACACTCGGACCGTATTCGAGAGGTCTTTGGTTCGAGTCCCGACGAGGGCATTGCTAATTTTTCTCATCTCTAGCTTTAAAATAATCTAATGACTCTACAGACCTAATAATTGTGTTAAACAGACTGCTTTTAAGGTTACATATTTTATGTTTCCTCGTGGACAAGTGTCTAAAACTGGAAGGATAATTGAAAAAAATATACAATGAAAGAAAAAATGATGAAATAAGCGTTTCGATTTCTGCTGCTTTAACTTCCGGCGTCGACAAAATACATTTGGAGGCTTCTGCCTCTACACAGTATATTCATTTTGTTCTTACTTATCCACTGAAATAAGCAATGGCAAAATATCGCATAGTGCTACTCATTGGTGCCTTAGATTCCTTAAAAGGTTTATTCCTGGTGGATATATTGTTGCAGTTAATAAACTTTGCTTACAGCGTGAAAGGAATACTGCCTTCTACCATATGTTCTCGAAATGGAAGTGCGCTCCTGTGTACTCTCGCACTGGTAACCGGAAGTTTCCAAGTACGAACTCCGGCGAAGGCATATAGGTGGTTTCTCCTGTTTCCTGGTACGAAATCTTAAAAGCGTACAGAGTCATCCGAATTAAAATATATTAAATGATAATACGCTGCGAATTATGTGCTGTCGACTAGGCTTGCATGCCTCTGTCCTATCGCTTTTTAAGTGAGAGAGAAGGTAAGGAATTATTACATTTCCCCGTGTGTGCTCGCATAGTGTAAATGGTTAGATGGTATTGGCAAGTGAAATATGCATGCTTCGAATTCGAATCCAAATAGGGGGCCCGATTGATTTCTTATGTTTCCTGACTCTAAATCTCTTAATAAATCTTAATAAGTTTTTGTTAAGTTATTAGTAATAGTAGTTGTTGAGTTTTTCTTAATTAATACCTCTACCTTTTTAGTATATATAGGTTTTATTTTACTACATTTTCTTTAAAGGAATGGAAGACGTTTTTGGGAATGAAAATTTTATGAATCCAAATGAGGAATATTGGCCAAACGATACGTAAGTTATTACTCTAATTTTGGAATTTGATTTTTTATTTATATCATATTTTGTGTGAATTTAATGATTTTTTGATTAAGAAAGTCTGCGATTTAAAAGCAACGTGTTGCCACTCGGGAAGTAAGAAAACTTGTTTCAGATTTAATGAGAAAACCAAGCGTTTAAAAGAAATGTTTTGCCATTGACCGAAATAAAATATTTTCCACTTCCAGGAGCATGGCTGTTTGTTACTATTCGGAAAAGCGTAAGATACTTAATTTTTCTTTCAGAATTAATGTCTATTGTTCATTAACAGACTGAGTAAGGGTGAAGTAAGCGGGTATGATTGTGGTTCAGATATAGACGAATTTCGAGTATTCCGGATTTGAGAAATTGCATACATACACGTAATCTTCGTAATCTAACTTTTGGGTTGAATATTTAAGCTAAAAAGAAGGAAAATAAAAATACCTGGCATTGACAAAACTGCTTAAATTTGATTTAATCTGCTTCTATGCACTACTGAAAAGGCATTTAATTATATGGATGATATTATGATAGAATGTAAAACACCGTTGAACACTGACAGGTTAGTTGCTGTGAAATATTATTTATTCTCATTAATCAAACAAAAACAAAAAATGTGAAATTTGGGGATCCGAAAATCCATCTCAGGGTCCAAATGATATAGATTTTAGGGATACTGCACTGAATACTGGCCAAATCTTTTTACATTCCATGAATTGTTCACTTTTAACTATCAATTTCTGATCTCTAGCTCTTGTTAATATGTATACTGATGATTATAATCTAATGTTTAAAGAATTAAGTGAAAAACCATTGTCTACATGAAAATGGTTTGCTGATCATAATTCATCATGATCATGCATGATGACACTTTCATTTGTTAGCAAAGGTTAGGTTAGGTTATTTAATTACGGCAAAGCCTCGAAGGCTAGCTGCCTAAGGGAAGGGATGCCTTCGTGGAGGACTTTCTAAGGGAAACTGGCTCGTATACACGTTACACATGGGGAAAACTACGAAAACACCCATGCGGCCAGCCCGTTCGCGGGATTCGAAACTCGGACCGAACTATCAGTGTTCAGCGACTTTATCGCACGGTCGCTGGTGGGCTTGTTAGCAAAGGAAAGTGTAAATGCAGCAATACTAAATCTTAATCCTCTTCCCTAAAAATGGCAAACTAGCATAGTAATCATTTTTAAAAAGTGTTGAGAAACCAGAAAGAAGGTGAACAACTTTGTGAAAGGTTGTAGTGGAACATAAATTAACATTTAATAGATTAAAAAACATATTACTTTTTGAATCAGTAACAAAATTGTTGGATAAATTGTGTGTATGGATATGTGCATGTGTGTCACATTAATCTTCTGAATTATTTGAAATTATGTCAGGATTTTCTCCAAAGTAGGAATTTTGAAACGGAGCCACAGTCACCCCTTAGTAACTGAGTAGAGTCGAATTTGTATTATTACTGTGTGTTTCCGTACTGCATTTTATTACTAAAATAATTAACTTAAAAATAGGGAATGCTTGTTTTGACATAGGGAACTTTTATTTGTAAATATGTAGAACCCTTTCAGTTCATCTAACAATACTGCAAATAGATTTTAATTATTTTGAATCCAAGCGTCATAAAATTTCTTCTTAAGTGTCATATCTTCATTATGAAAATACCATGATAAATCATTTTTAAGTTTTAAATTGTAAAAAGGCGATTTTCTGTTTCTTATGAATTCGTTCATTCCATTTCTCATCAAATACTTATTTTATATAGTTTCTGAGTTGCCCATCATACATCGTTTTGAGGCCAAGGATAAAAATTCCAGTTCATATCTATAAATTTCGTTTCTCTTAAATATAATACAAAATAAACTAAAGAATAAGAATGTTTCAATTCATTTCATTTCCTGTAAGAATGTTTCATTAGGATAACTGATTATTCCTCTTTTTCAGGAACATGTTCCCTGTCCAACCACATAGAATTCAAAATAATAACTCGTTTAATATTCAAGATCTGCCATGTGAAAATCGGAATGACAAGACGAATAAAGCACAAAAGACACATATGAGACAAACCGTTTTAAGCTCCGATTCGTTAAAAGGCTTGGCGTTTAAACTGGAAAAGTCTAAGAAAAGGAAAAATACTGTTTTATCCGTAAGTATGCTAATCAGGTTGACCATTTTACTGGATAAAACAAGTTTTCACGGCATTTCAGGCTAAATATGAAACATTTATAGGACGGACAGTAAGCAATTCAAATAAAAAAGGTGAAGTCACTCTTCCCAAAAAGTTCTCTCATTTTATTACAGAATTAAAAATTTTCTGATTCATATTCCTTTGCAAAAGTAATCAAAGCAATCCGGAATAAGATTGCTGATATCTGGTGAAGCTTAAAATTCTAACTGATTCAGTCTTGCAAATGCTTACATAGGGAAGCATATTTTATACACCTATATAGGTTTAAAATCCAACACGTATGCTATACGCATACTTACTGGTTTGCATTCCATAGGCCTGATATATTTTTTGTTGAACAAAAATCAGTTTTTAATCATGACATGTTACTTCTTTTCGGATATAATTCATTTGAATCATACTATTTATATTTCAAGTGATCTTCCGTACATTTTGACGCACTCCTATAACTGACTTATCAAGAGTTTGTGCAGAAATTTTCTCAGAAGCTAAAAATTGATATCCGAGTACAAACAAATTAATATAAAGTAGTACATATTTACTTTATTTAAATAATATTTGACTATTAATATATGTTTATTGCTTTATTAATGTATATTTAGTAAAATGATGGAGCCGTTTTTTGCACTTAAAGTATTTTCTTGAGAAGATAACAGAATTAAAAGATTATAATTTTTCTACTGTCTTTTCAGAGATTATTTTAAAAGTGAGATGATCATTTAAAAAAGATTTTATAAAAGATTAAAAAAGACTTACACCGTTTTCTTTGAAAGCGGTATCCATTTTATATTAAGTAGAGATAGTTAAGGGAATGCTTTGAAAAGTACTGGTATATGTTAATACGCTCATTTTATGTTTTTTAAATATAAAACTGATTTAAATTTATAACGTGTTCGTTTTTAAAATATTAGTTAAAAGAGATTTATACTTTTGAAGACATAAAATGGATTATACCCCTTTCAAAGTCAACAAAATGTGAAAAATCATACATTTACGAAATATTAAATATGGGATTTCAATCGAATCAAGCCAACTTTTTCTGAAATTTTTATTAAATATATATTGTTGTCATCAGAATCTGTTTCCAAGTTTCTTTTCTAGTTTCTATTTATTGGAATGATTAGAAGGAAATGTAACAAAATAAGAGTTTATTTTATAATACCTACCTGAATCACTGTACGATTCTTAAGTGACATTATCCACTAAATTCCAATGAACGAGCGAAAATTTTTATATCATGAACAGTTTTGCTGCACATATGAAAACAAAGCAGAGAAATTATGCAGTATAGTACGCTTTTAAATAAATGTTATGTTTTTTGCGGAAAATGGAGTCACGTCACTTTTAAAGTAATTATGTTTGTAATTTAATTAACTACGTCCATTTTTATTGAAAAATTATGAAAATTTTTAAAGATTTTTTTGGTAACTGTTTATAGAGAAAAAGCTTGTAGCATATTGCATTCATTGTCAAACGTTTCAAGTAATAAAGTCGAATTACGCTGTAACAAACCCGAAGAAACCTTATTTCGCTGTATCCAATTCGATAAGAAATCTGTAAAAATTGAATGAAGAATCTGCGAAAAAATAGAAAATTTTTAATATTGTACCGAAAGAAGTGAATAATAAATTTAAGTTAAAAATATTCATACTAAGTTTTAATTGCATTTATTAAAGTAATAACAAAATTTAAGTTAATAGTTTTACACGTTAAATTACTTAACAACAGTATCGTGATTCCTCGCATTAATCTTTAAATTAGAGAATTCATGATTCCTCAAATTCCTTTTCTGGAATTGCACGTTTATAGTTATGAATGATTATTTTATTCATAAAATTATACAGTGATTTCATTTTTTAGGATAACGGATAACAAAAAATATGGAGGATTTTACTTTTAACTTTTACATAAGACATGATTGCAAAGCGGATATTCAATAACTTTTGTCAAGAATATCGTATGTCTTGCAAAAGATCTAAAAAATGTTAAACACCAATTCGGAAGACTAAGCTTGAGGATCATTTACACTCATACAAATTAGGATAAAAATTTTATTCCTTAAAAGGCGAATCAACTGTGTAGTCTAATCATAGACTCTCTAAGGCCGGTTTCGTTACAGAGAGGATCATCTATATACTGATTTATCATATACAGTTGAGCAACCGCTATAACTAACTTCAAGAGAACTTAAGTTTGGTTCGGCGTATCCAGTGGTTTATTGTATTCAATTGGATAAGCGGGGGAAGGATGGATCGTCTTATAAGTAGTGCAAAAATTTGTTTATCAATCACACAAAAAGAATAGTTAGCATTTTCACATCTCCCGAAAGAAGTTAATAATACCTCTATTATGAAAAGAAAAAAAATACTAAGAACTAATTACTATTATTATTATGTGCAATTACTAAATTTCTATTGTGTTGTTTTTCTGTTTCACCGTATATTAATAATTTTACACTGTACAAACAAACCTATAAGGATTAAAAGATTTCATTTCTTAAAAGACGAACCACCTGCATAGCAGCAAGCTAATATAAGAATCTATTCTTTACTTCCTTTTTCCCCGACTGACAACTCAAAAGAATTTGAATGGAGTCAAATATACCGATTCAAATTCTTTGCCAGAGTTAATCAACGGTTCTTTGGCTCAATGTGTTACACAATAGGATCATCCAAAGCATGTTTATTGTGTGTCCTGGTTTTTCAAGACTTGGTGTTACACCTGCCTCATGTCAAGTCAGTAACTTAAAGGCACTTTTAATTATTGATGAAGTTAGTAACTTTTCAATTGAAATTTGCAGAAATCATGGAAAACCCTTTGCAAAATACTAACAAATGTCAGTCGATAATATGGCCGAAGCTCATTATATCCAATTTGTACATTTGGAAGTTCACTATAGTCACGTAAAATAACAATAAGTGTATAGGAAATTGGATGGGACCAAAAAACTTGGGCATTATATTCGGGGTGCATCATAAACGGATTCGCTACAGCGGGTGATAGCAGCTCATCGGTACTGCAGTCTGCAAGGCAATGTGTCTGCTTACAATTAGCACGTTTGAATACGACCATATGTAAATATGAAGACTAAACTAAATGCATTTGTGGAGATTTTCTGTGTCTATAAGCTTGTGTTAATACACTTCAGACTTTACCAGCCTGGAAACGAGTTATCGCTTTAGTTTGGAAAAAAAAAATCTGATGTGTACACCACATGACTTCCTTGTACGGAATATTAAATTATACGCATTTTTCTTGCATTTCATTTAAACTTATTGGATTGAATTAAGTCTACTTCGCCGACAGCGCATAAACCACAATAGAATAAATGCATTCTTTAAAATTCACTCTAGTATTTGTTTACCCTAGCGACGCTCTGGCGCTAGATTCACTTAAAATTATTACTGTAACTAAATTTGTATTACTGTTAGTTTGCGCGCAGTGCTTCAGTACAAATTTTAAATTTTCGGAAAATACAGTTAGTTTTCTCTTTATAAAAAAAATTCTTATGCACTGTAGGGTTTATATTTATTTTAACTAACATTTATTTTAAGTTTAAACTATCTTTCCTGTCAAGCCTTACTTTCCCCTGGAACTGCCAATGCCAGAATATGTAAATTTGAGTAGAACGCGCAAGGATTCAAATTATCAGCGGAAGTATTCTGATTTAAATAGAAGGAAACGAGTTCGGTGAGAGATTCTTACTTAGCGAGCGCGGAGGTAGTAGTTAGCGAGAATTGAAGAATCCCGCGTTGCGGCCTATGTGCTTGGCGGGAAGGAAGTAGTGGAAATTGTTCCAGTGAGCTTCAAGTCTGCTGAATTAGCAGCGGTATTGTTAAAAACACGGTGAGTTAGTTATTTTAGAGAGCCTCGTAGTTAGAATCTTGTCTTTACTTTCTTTTCAGGTTATTATTTTTATTTGACTGCCAAGTAGGCACAGTCTGTAAGCGTCAAGAGGACGCAATTGTAATTTATTACGTTGAATAAAAAGGGACTTAAACCCTTCACAAGGCTTATCTTTTATACAAGTTTTCACAGTCACCTCTTGGTTGCGTGCAAGTTGGAGGCGCGCAACGTTATAACACTATTAAGTAAAATAAATCAAGAAAAATAATCATCTATGTATAAAGATGACACACTGAAAATTTCATATATGTACGACAAAAACAATTTCACTTATTAAAACTCGAAAATCAGCTAAAATTTTCACTTTTTGTGTTGCGCAAAACTGATGACTCCCCTTCAGTATTATATTTCGTTCACATTATAACTCATAATGCACAAAATTTATATCATTTAAAGAACAGAATTATCTAATCGTTGCCACATGTTCTATTCAAATACTATAATAAAGCTAGAATGATGTATAAAAGAAATTAAGCAAAAAAAAAAAAAAAAAAAAGAAGAAAGAAAAGAAAAAAAAAAAAAAAAAGAAAGAAACAGTTTTTCACAGACGATTGAGTATTTATCATTTATTTAATTCAGTTCTCACTTCGCGAGAAGGCAAAAATACATAAAAACTCAGAATATCTATATTAAAAATTACGAAGTAAATTTCAAACACTTATTTTCTCGAAAAAATTCCAGAAAGGATTAAGCATGATTTAATTCACAATAATAAATGAAGGCGTTATCTTTGTTGTTGCGAAGCTAAGTTTCTCTAGATTGGCAACAAATCCACTATCCTGCTGTTTCAAATGTAAACAAGCAATGGCTGCCATCAAAAAAATTATTAGGCTTAGCGGCACTTAAACAACTTTAAAATTGTTGATAATTCTAAAAGTATTGCATACAGATTTACTAAAGGCATAAAAACCTTAACCGGAAGATAAGAACAACATAATTCAATAATTTTTAAAGCAAAAAATGTACAATTTACAATCATATAAGAGTAAAGAAACTGAGATCACTGAGCCGGGTACCAGAGTGGATATATATATATATAAATATATTTAAAT